AGCTTACATCATCATTGTCCAGAGCATAACAAGATGAGTAAGATAAGAAAGTATACTTAAACTGTTTTGTGCCTCTCTGCTGACAACCATTAAGTGCCATTTAGGGAACTTGTGGGTAGGATGAAGGAGGTCATTATGACCCTTTCATCATTCGCTAACCAGTTTAACTCTTCGCCCAGCCCTTTATAATGTACATCTATCACCAGCATAAATGTAAATAAGTGTCTCACAATCTCAGTCAGCATGATCTATTGGTTGTTTTAATAGCAGTGGAGTCTGATGGACTGGTGGGGAATGAAGGGTTAAAGATAGACGAGGAAGGGGCTGGGTCATTGGGTACAATGGTCATGTTCAATCTAATCACAGAGGCCTAATTTTTCTCTAATGGGAGGCTGCTCTGTTGGGACTGATGTGATAGAAAGAAAATAATCATCAGAATAATCCACGTATGGTAAATTCTGACAGCTGTGATGAGGCCGTCTGACACGCTGGACGTGGCATCGATCAGTCAAGACTCTGTTCTAAAGTACGCGATCGTCTGTTGTTCAGATTCAGGTGGAAAATCGTTCTGTCCAACACCATACAGCGTCTTTAACTCCTGATTGAAAACAGCGAGATTCTGGCTCCGGTTAAGATGGAAAAAATATTGGTAATTGCTTGTGGAGGTCAGAGGAACTTTAATGGGACTATTAGGAGTTATTACCAGCAGCTTGTCTTTGTATGTCAATGCCATTGTGCGATGCAGCGGTACCGTGAAGTCCTATTCGGTCTTGTCTGTTGTACAGTGTTTAGTCGAACTGCATTAACTGGAGGTAATGAGGGTACAATTATGGCTCCTTAACCTTTTGTGAGGGAGAGGAAGAGCCTCCGCCTCTGCTGCGTTTTCCTTCTTCCTTACACCACTGCACAGCCTGTTCACATGTTGCCATCATGTGTTACCTTTGGCCGGTTTAATGTTTCCATAAGGGGCGTATGTCACTCAGCACAATTAATGTTAATGTTAGGAGGAAGGGCATTCTTTCTACCTGTTTTAGCAGTCTTTTGGTAAATACTCGAGGTAAATTGCTTGTTTCCTTTATTTTTTTACACCGTATTATTCATGTGGAGGCATTTCTTTACTCTGTTCTCTGGCTTCCATTGTTCTCTCGGACACAGACGGCCCATTGTAAGGGAACATCGTCTGACAGGAAGGCCTGTTCCACACATGAAGCTGTCACACAGATGTGGGCTTCAGCCCCGAAGGAGGGGCGGTGTCCAGAAACACACCATTTGCTGCGACCTCTGAACCTGTCCTTGTTAAGCCCTTGATGCCAAAGATAGGCTCAGGAGGGAGTGCCCCCACCCCGGTCCCCTAACAGCTACATGTTGTACTTGCTCACGGCTAATGGCATGACACACTCGCACACACACACACATGCATTCTTACAGTAGGTCTGCTTTAGGACAGTGGTTGATGGAGGATGACAGCTCCTCAACATGCCGCCTTTGCCCCAGCCCTCCAGCAGCACTGTGTGTGTGTTGAGTTCCCCCTCCCGACCAAACAGCTGCTACCTCCCTTCCTCCCCCTTGATCCTCTCACCAGTCTCTAACCTGTCTGTCCATTTGAAGAAAACAAGACTCTGCACTTTGCAGTTCTCCTCCACCATCCCTCTCTCTCTCTCTCTGACATGATTCTCAATAATCTAATGCTGCAGCCGTTCAATGGCGAAGCCTCTAACCCTCGCTGTTTCTTGCCTTCATTGTCAAAGAGGCTGGTAGGTTTTTGGCCACACATCAGGGATCTGAGCCCTACAGTATGGCAGGAAGGGGGGGAGATGGGAGTGAAAAAGAGAGAGAGAGAGCAAGCTAGGAATGAGTGCCACGGGGAGTTGAAAAGCCTTGTTGCGTCCCCCACTCTGCTGGTTACCAAGAGATCAACAGGGTGCTAAAAGCACTCAGGGGAGGAAGAAATGGATGGTTTTTAGGAAAGGGGGAAAAAAAAGGATAGATTTAGAGTGATGAGAGACAAAGAAAGAGAGCAGTGAGGGGGGGATGACGGGGTGGAAATTGTGGATGTATATTTAGTCTGTGTACCCCCCTGCTGTCAGTCACTAACACAAGGACAGACAGGAAGGGGGGTGGCAGTTTCTTCTTTTGCCCCAGACCCACAAGGAGACTCAAGTCCTCGCAATACTGACGCAACAGCCGCTCTGTTGGGATATCAGCAGGTGTCCTTAAGAACTTCACTGCAATGTCAACCAGTCATTATTTGTTATATTCAGTGTTAGAAGAGCTATTTGTTAGTCTGATTAAACACCGGCTTTGCCAAGAGTTCAGAGAGATAATGCCAAGGCCGTGCCCTCGCTGGCTGCATATCTGCATTTTGACTCTGCCGACCCACAGTGGCCACTTAAACACTGCCTCATGAATACACAAGTCAATCAAACGTCTGTTCGAGACACACGCCGACTAGTATCTGGAGCGTTCGGTGCATAACATGGGTGAGGAATTTGCTCTTAATACTGAGAAACATTAGCGCTAACAACTGCTGTGGTGTAAACGCAATGTGTTGTTTGTTTCAGCTTTCAAACAACCCGACGGCATGTTTCGGTTGAAAGGTGTAACGCATTAGCACATTTTTTTTTTTTTAAATAAAACATTACGAATCCCGCTGAAGGAGTGAAATGATTCCACTTCTATATCTTAAGTAATTCACAGATGTCCTTGGAAGGAAAGTCGCTGCATGAATCAGGGGGGCATAACTCAGATCACTGCGCTCGTATGAAAGAGAAAATTCTCAAAAAAGTTCTCGAAACACATGAAAAGCTCACCTTCTTCTTTCTTTTTTTTTCAGGTCTTTGCTTGTTTTAACAAAAACATGAGATATTTTCCTTATCTGTCGCATCTCCTCTGTTCTTCACAACTTCTTTTGTCTCACTGTTTCTCTCCGACTTACTCTAGTTTGCTACTCTTTTATTTTTCGGGGGGTTTTGTTCACTGGGTTCCTCTTTTCTTTAGTGTAATTTTCACAGTCCGTCTTGGATTTTCACACCTGAATAGACATATCACCTTGCTCTGCTGCTGCTCTGATATCTACTTGTGCCATTTTATGGTAATTCCGCCTGCCGCATTCACACACTGCACCCGATTGCACCGTGATTTCGGCCTGATGCAGGTGAAGAATCCCTTCCCCTCGGAGCTGGGAGACGAATAATCACAGATAGAGTGCCTTCCATTTTTCAGTATTTGTTCTTTATTCCATCCCATGTCTGTAGCTTTTTTTTTTTTCTTACATTAGTATAGACATATGCTGGAAGGAAAGATGACAAAACCACGTGCAACCTACAGGATCAATCTAATTACCAGGGGTGCTGCTGTTGCTGAAGTTAATTACATGTCGGTGGCGGTGATGATACGCTGCTAAACCGCTCGCCTCTCTGATCACTCTGTTGTCAAATAAGTTGTTCATTTGTTCTATGAAAAGTCTTTGTCAAAGTCAATACATCCGTTTGCCTTTTAAACCTCACTTTCCGTCAATCTCGTGTTATAGCACATACCTGTATTTATTCTTCTCCTTCAGTTTCATCCGCCCTCTCCGCTCTGTGCCTTTCCATCTTTATTAATGGAGTTTCACATGTGGCCGGGTCCTTTGTGCAGAGCATATAGAAGTATATGTAAAAAACATCCAGCCGCCCACCTAGGGGGGTTTTCATAAAAAGCTTTTTGAATAACAGTCCCCGCGAGACACCCGGGACCTCAGCTGACACGTAATTAGAGGCTGGGGTGAATGGTTGACTGACTCATTTTCATACCGGACGCTTGGAGACGGGGAATAGACAGGTAGGGCGAGATGAGGTCTTTTAAGGTAGACTGCTGATAAAATTTCCATGCCTCCCCCCCCTCTGTCCTCCATACCCCCACTCACTAATAAATAAATAGGGGACAGCGTCTCTCTGCACCACCCTTGAGTGTCGCCAAAGATATCCTGGCCCCTGAAAGGGTTGAATCCATTACCATAAAGAAACCAGAGCGGCACAAGACCTATTTGGATGTGCTTGACATTTTAGTAACAGAGAGAGAAAGAGGAAGGTGAGAGGTGAGGGCGGGGAAATAGCAGTGGCTAACAAAGCGTTTCAGCAGAACCTCCCACGGAGACGATGCACTGTCTGGATGCTGACAAGCCCGCACACACACACACACACACACACACACACACACACGCAAGCATCAGCAGTTACTAACCGGACTAGAAACAGAAACTGATGCTCGTCGATGAGCCCCATTCACATTTTACTGTAACTAACCTTCAACATTTGACGACTGGTTGAAAACGAACCCTTTGTTATTAGATACGTCTCTGCTCTACATGCACGATGTCATCGCTGCATGTAAGTGCTCTGCTGAATCCGTACCATCCCCATAAAGAGAGCTCAAATGAAGATTTTATCCCCCATTAAGGAGAGCATGGAGCTGCTGTCTCGTCTTAGAGCCTAGTTAAGTCCTCAGACGTCTGGCCTGCCTGTAAAAGCCACTGCCTCCCGACTTTGCTGCCTAATGGCCCTGAAGGAAGATGAGTAAATGAAATGAAGGGAGTGAGAGAAACAAATGACAAGAGGCGCACACTTTCCCTCACTCTAGACCTCAGTCCCGTCACCTCAAAGACCTGGCAGCAGCGCCACGCCTCCAGGTCAGATCTAATTGATTGAACGGGAGCAATCAATCACGGCGTCTTTTGTCACTGAAATTTTTTGGCTGGAGCGGGATGCTTCCACAGCTGCATCAGGGCCTCAGTGTGTCCTGCACTCAGAGTCTTTGATTTAGAACACAGGCTGTTACTTTTCCTGCAGGTAATTGGATTAAAAGCCAGAAGGGAGAGTTATAGGCAGGACAGGGTGAGATGCTAGCACGGCAAAAATAGAAATAATGACAGAGACTGTGAGGTGTTTTTTTTTTTTTTTACGTTGCTGGGACAGTCTTTTAATGATTTATCTTCTCTTTTTTTCTTTTTCTTTATTTTTTAGGAGGAGGAGGAAGAAGAGCAAAGGAAACACGAAAGGAGGATTGAACGGATAGAGCCAGTAGGGAGGGCCGACTCCTCAGTGGAACATTCACCTGTGCTGCACCTCGAGTGAGTACAAAACCCCCACCACCCATCCACCCATCCATCCATCCATCCATTATCTATACACCGCTTAATCCTCACTAGGGTCATGGGGGGCTGGAGTCTATCCCAGCTGACTCAGGGTGAAGGCAGGAGACACCCTGGACAGGTCACCAGTCTATCACAGGGCCACACTTAGGGACAGACAACCAAGCACACTCACATTCACACCTACGGACAATTTAGAATCATCAACTAACCTCAACATGTTTTTGGACCTAGTGGGAGGAAGCCGGAGAACCCGGAGAGAACATGCAAACTCCATACAGAAAGATCCCAGGTGTCCTTACCAGGATAAGAACCAGCGACCTTCTAGCTGTGAGGCAACGGTGCTAACCACCGAGCCACTGAGCAGCCCCCCACCCAAACCAAATACAAAAAGAAAAGTCTTAATTTTTCTTGTGTCTAGCCACAAAGATCTCATTAAATCTATGTGTGCATTTTCATTTAATACAGTCATCCTCAAATGTATTCATACCCTCCCATTAAAGAAGGAACTGAAATAAGTAGAAACTGACAAAAGTAATAATAAATAGCAATTTAATGAAAATAATGACATTGCTTTTGAATTGGGGTTCAACAGAAATATTTAAACAACAACAACAACAGCAACAAAACAAGCAAAGTGATGGGACCCATAAACTAATATTTTGTTGAACAATCCTTTGAACCAATCACTGCAATCAAGTGTTTTCTGTAACTCTCAGTCAGACTTCTGCACCTGTTGACAGGTATTTGGATTTCACTGCTCATCAGCAAAGTGCTCTCATTTGTCTGGGACAGTTTTGTTTCTTAAAATCATTCTTTTCAACCACAATTCAAAAGCAACATCTTATTTCACTAAATTATAATTTAGCAAATTTTTATTTATTATTACTTTTTTCAGTTTCTAGTTGTTTGAGTGACTATTGTGAATTTTGGCTTTTCTTTAATGGAAGGGTGTGAATACATTTGAGGACAGCTGTATGTAACCAAACTTTGCCCAAAACAGCTCACCATTAGAGGTAGGGGATGCATTCTGTTTTCTGGTGTTTTGACTCTCCAGAGTATTCCAAATGACACTTGAGATGTTAAAAATTGCCAGAATACTAATCCCTAAATAAAACCACATGTCAATACCAACGCAAACATCAAGACCGTTCTGCCATGAACATCATCACATACATCTGCACTGATGGCTGCTTATGTTCATTTGTCTTCACGTCTTTATCTACACAAATTAACCTTCTCCTCCTCCTCCTCCCTTCCCTTACACGTATTCAATTAATTTGTTCTCTTTTAGCACAACAGTCCGATCTTAATCACTTAATTGGAGTCTCCATTTGGATCCCTAATCGACTCTGAGGTCCACCAGCCAGACTTTGTAATGGATGACTTTGTGTAGGCAACACAATGGAGCCTCCGCCAATAAGGCCCCGCCAACCCCCATCCCGTCCATCCTATCGACCTCTTGTCATGTTAGACTGTGTTGTCTTTGATATTCTGCATTTCTACATTTTCTTGTCACTGCTGTTATTTTTTATTCATGCGTGTCTCCCCCCCCTCTCCTGCCTCCTCCTTATTCTCTTCTTCCTGGTCTCATCCATCAACGTCCTGCAGAGGCATGCTCAAGCCGGTTGAGGTGTCCAATGAAGGAGGGCCCCTGGGAATCCACGTAGTGCCTTTCAGTGCGCAGGATGTCAGGTAAAGGAAAAATACAAAACAATCTACGTTTCAGTGTAGCTTATTGAACAACAATAGCTAGTTAGTTTCACCATCTGATATGTTTCAAGTATCTTTTGGATTTTGGTATCTTGGGAATGTTGTTTTTTTCCCCCCGTTCTACTCGTATTTTTTCTTGTTTTTATGTGTTGCTTGAGGCTTTCTTTTTCAGTGACTCCGATTTTTACGGTCATCCCTTTCATATTGTGAGTCTCGCTGTAGAAACACCACGCCCATCCTCGGCACTGCTCACATCCCACAGCTACGAAGCCCCCAGTGGCTCCAAGTAGAACAGATGAAAGCAGTTTTGCTCTTGACTGCACAGTTTTCTAATACTTTTTAAATTCTAGCCGATGTTTCCAGTCGCAATGGCGTCCGCTTTGTCTTGAGTCAGACTGTTTCCTTTTACTTTTTTTTTTTAACTGATAAGGAGTGTCAATGACAGGGGACAAGAGGAGGAATACATCCCAGTTTATGGTTATTTCAGAAAAAAAAATAAAATAAAGGACAGATGAAGTGGCCAGATGTAATCAAACTAAAAGCTTGTGTATAACACAGATCCCTGCTGCACGGCGATGGACTGGCACACCACCAAGGTGATTGTGACTACTCAGCGCTGGGGCAGGGAGGAAAGGGGGGATGAGGTGAAAAGACTGAGTGAGAAGATGAAATGGGATGACATTTGAGGGAGAGGGGACGGCTGTCATTGAAGAGGCCTGCCTGAGACACTAATCTCATTGCTGTTTATAAGCAAGTGTCAGGAAACTATATTTAGCTGCGACCTCGTGTTAACTCCCTCGGAAGCTGTGACACTTAGAGTTACCCTGACTCAGAGGAGGGAAATATTGATTCATGGTGAGTTGCGCCAAACAAAGTGAAGCATTAATAAAACGAACGAGTGATTTTGCTTGAATAAAGGTCAAATCCGGTAGTTTATTAGACATTATCCTCAAGCTGGCCCTGCGTTTCCACAAAAACCCGACAGCACTGTGTAAGGTATAGCGCTAATGCTGCGCGGCCGGTAAATTTCTTCTCCATCAGCTCAGGTCGGTACTAATAGCTATCAGAGCCTTCAATTAACTTCAGCCATGATAAGACTTAGTGTCTGGTCAGTGGGATGATGTTAATGGCCTGGCCCAGCTCTTTCCTGTGTGCTAGGACAGGAGGCATTAGGCTCAGCGGGCTGTCATTAGTGTCTAGACCGGGGCCAGAGGGGTCAGACAGCCAGCAAAAACCAGACAGCAAACAAGGAACTGCAGGCACTCCGGCATCGGCTGCCTGCATTAAGCTCCGCTGCTCTGACGTCGAGTTAGATTCAAACAGCAGGGGAAGACTGTAGAGGAGAGATGGACTCCCTGTCGCTCTGGTAGGCAGTGTTTCTCTCTTAGACACACCCAGATGCACAGATCCTTACCTAAAAATGTTTTAAACCTGCGACATTTGTGAACAAGTTGGACCTACCTAGAAGTATGCACACAGGCTCTTCTTACATGCATCGTCGATGTACCGCGAGAGCCTGTTTGCACATATTCCTGTACTGTACATCACCCACACACACACAAACACACACCCTCATACCAGATGCATTCTTTGCTTAATGAACTTCTCATTCCATGACCAGTTTCAATTGTAAACAAACAGCGGACATAATTGCCGTGCATAAATGGATCCTGATTGGATTATTATTTGATTAAAGGCAGTAGATGAGAGCAGGTGGCCTCCTTCAAATCAGTTTTCAGCACCGCTACCCAGCCACAAGATGGAGTGACGCCGTACAGTGTAGTAAAACGCTGAGTCTTGGTTCTTTGGGAAACTTAGCAAGCCTTATATTTTTCTCCAGAGTCTGCAGAGAATCTTCTAACTGGAAACTCTTTGTGCTTATAGTGTATGTGGCACCTAATGAATTCACTGACTTGCAGCCCGTGAGAATGCCATTTATATTTTACTTTAGCGCTCCTCTGCAAGGAACTGACAAGTATCTACAAAAAAAAGCCCATCAGTGAGACGGGAGGGAATTGAGAGGGTGGCTGTGCATTACAGTCAACACAATAATAGTGCTTTTACGAAATCATCATCTTCCTCAAATCTCTAAAAGATGCTGCTTTATCCCCAATCCTCCCTGCTGCTGCTTTGAATACTGATCAGGGATCAACCAAAACTCCTTTATCTACTGTCTGTAGTCTGCTGCCAGATCAGAAGTCATTAGAGTGTGTCCATGCTGTAATCTCCATGCGCAATACTTTGTTTTCAAGCTGCCAACACTTATGGAGATAAAGCACAATCATGTCTGCCACCGCACCGCACGCAATTACTCTCTGCTCAACACACTTAAGCTGACCTGGCAACACCAGCTCAGACACCGAGAAAGAGGGAAGGGCCTTTTGTGTTCTTTAATTTCAACTTAATGCTCAGCCATTTACCCCCATTGAGGAGCTGAGATGAGTCTGGGGCGTGAGCGTGGACCTACACATTATGCAGCCAATTAGAGCAATGTTCTGAGAGTGGCTCTGTTTGGCTGAAATGCTAAAAAGCTTTACAAGTCTGCCCTTGACGTCTGCGGTAAACAGGGTCACAATTTAAATGTGCTGTTGTTTATGTGTCCGGCGAAAAGACAGGATGTAACCGAGAACCATGCGGCTCATGTCCTTGCCACCGACAAGGTGCTGCTAACAGTGTAATCTACCCTATCTGCTGCGTCCTGGTGCAGCTTCTTAAAGGGTTTTATTTCATCGTTACGTTTAATTTCTCCACAATAGGCTTCCAAACTTTTTTGTCAGTTTATGCAAGGACACCAAACATTTACACTGAGTCAATCTACCTGCTACCTCAGGCATCTGGCACCTTAGACTGGAGTTTGTGGCTCTGCTGTGTGAGCACACATCAGATCTCTTTGCATGCGGTTATCCTCAGGGCCTAACTAAAGCCCCAAAGAGCTCACTGATGTATTTATTTAGGGGGGGGAGGAGGGATGGAGGGGAGCGGGGTATGTGAAGGTAAAGGTTGCCTTTTTTTAGGAGGGATTGCTGAGATGGCACCGCCGTGGAACTCCTTGGGTATTTATTACAGCGCAGGCGGTTCTCATCTTAAGCTCCGGCAAAGGCAGCGTTACCCGGAAGCCATACGATGATCTCTTTGCTGTTGGTCTGGATTATTTCAGACAAACTTGCCCTGTCATTCTAGCAGACCTGCCCACAGATAGAAATGCAGAATGGTGGACAGAAGGACGGACGGAGGCTTAAAATCAAGTTTGTAATGCAGCACTTCTCCAAGCGGCAGTAAGATGCAGGTCTTAAAGTCTGGAAAGTTCACTTCTGTTGACAGTAGTACATGTTACAATAGGAGTAAACTAACTTTGAAAACTTACTGATCTCCCTAAAATCTGTTGGAGACACTTTATTTCACTGTTGATTCAAAAGTTTTGAATCTTAACGCCACATTATCTACATCTGATGTCTGTTAATCATGTGATTGTTGACTACTTTATTCTTTTTATAATGCCAGTTGCCGAGCTTATCTTGAATACTTTTTCACACTCCATGCATTCCTGCCAGACTTCTCTACACTGTCATTACGTTTTAAATGTAAGGATGGAGAAGAAGGCTTTCAACCTGCACCCTGCTGTTCACTGCATGCCTATGTGTGGCATAATTATTCTCTAACTTGTGTTTCATCTGCAACCTGTTGTGTGATCTTTTGCAGGACTCAGGGCTTGCTCGTGAAGCGTTTGGAGCGCGGGGGCAAAGCCGAGCAGGAGCGTCTCTTCCAGGAGAACGACTGCATAGTCAGAATTAATCAGGGAGACATTCGCAACCTTCGCTTTGAACAGTAAGCTTTAATGCGGACCTTCTATTCAGGGCTGTAACACATTCTTTTCCACGCAGTGTCGTTCTGCGTGTTTCTTTCCATTTCCATTTCATTTTCTACTTCCAGTAACTTTCCCCCCCTCTTCTTGTCACACTCACTGGATGCCATGCTGATTTTAATTTCTTGTCGCTACCTCCAAAAACGAGGACACATACAGTACAATCCTGACGCGCTGTCTGCGGCGCGATACGGTTCACACTGAGAGCGCTGTGTCGGACATTAAGTGCAGTGACAGTAAATAGTGTTGCTGTTGATAAGCGGAATCCAAACTGCGGGGAGACGTGACGCCCACACAGCTGCACAATAAAACAGAAATGTTACAGACATTGTGTTGGCCTTCCTGTGATAGGTCTCAGTGACCTGCAGTCCTTCACCGCTGCTCCGCCTTCTGATCCAAAACTGCCTAAACTCTTTTTCTCGATTCATTTCTATCGATTCATCGCTCCCCCTTCATTTCCTCAAGTGGAATGAAGATATAAGCCTGGGACTTTTCCCCCCATTTACCCAAAGCCAGCCTGAATGTGTTGACTCTCACACATACTTACACATGCGCTGACATACACATGCAGTGACACTGAGCTATAAACTCTTATCTACACCCATGTGTGTGTGTGTGTGTGCCAGGCTGAGAAATAGATTGCTTCTCCTCCAGGCTGGATTCTGGAGGCAGTGTGCGAGGTGGTCTGCTTGGCTCTTCCCTATCATCCACTCCACAGGAAGAAATAGCCCAGATTCCTGCTAACGAAGGCCCAGCCTGCAGTCATACTGAGCTGGACATAGTCATCTAAAACCAGTGGGATTAGAGCCACCACGCTGGATAACTTACAGAAAGTTTGAAACCCTGCTGCATTCAAAAGTAGAGCCATAAACTGAATTATTTCTAAACAGCTGTGTCACTCTTGAGATTTATTTATTTTTTTTTAAGCTAGACATTCGTAACATTTTAGAACTAACTTTGGCGAGCTCTTATAAAACTTTAACTGTTACCTTCCCACACTATGCTAATGTGCTCATCACACTGTGTACAAAGCCACTACGGTGTTGGGATCCATTTTTTATTTTTTTCATTTCTTTTCAAAACGATGCCTTTTGTCATTAGTAAACATCCCAGTTTCCTTCCAAGTCTTTTCTACTGTGAAAGAGGCTTACAAACCAAATCCACAAGGGAGTGATGTTTTGTAGCGTTCTGCTCTCGCCCTCCCCTGCCAAACACACCCTCCTCACCGGCATCCAGATGCATACGATGCTTGTGATTTTGCATAAAAATGAGGTGAAGGAGCGAAACTTTCCTCCTCGCCTGCCCCTCCTCGCTCTCTCATCACTCCCCTTACCGCCCTCCCCCCCTCGTTTTGATTGTGTGCCACAGAGAGTGACAATTTAAAGTGATAGTCTAATCTCCTTGAATTGTTTTGCATGGGTAAATATTTTGAGGCGCTTAATCTAGCTGAATGTAATGATGCATTGATGGGGGTAATTTATTATTCAATCAGGCTCGTGTGGAGGCTGATTACTGGAGTGATGGCACTATATATGTGCATGAGGGAGCGTTTGCCGACAAAAAAAAAAACGTGTGCACGTGTACACACACACTTACTCAACCAGTCATCATCCCACAGAGCGTATATGTGAGTGATTTTTGTAAATTACCATAAGAATAAAGATGGGAAAACCAAATCCTGCAGAAGTGGCTCGGTACGGCACGTGCGCCTCGCCTCTATGACACCGCTCGAATGAAGTGCTGTCTGTTGTGGCGGAAGCGGCTTAGTGGCTGTCATTTGGACAGAATCAGCATGGTATTGCTGGCGTGGTAATGGGGGGGGTCTGGAAAAACGACGTAGGATTGTTGGAATCCAGACATCCACCGCTCCTCCAGCCCCTTATGCTGCAGTGTGGCTCACTCCTGGCCAGCCTATCTATATGCTAAGTGCCGCTGGCAAACCAGACTAAACAATTCTCGTGTCTGGGAATGATGTTGAGCTCTTGTCTTGGCTTATTTTCCCCCCAAACTCACACGAGACTCAGTGTGTGTTTTGTCCTTTTCTTCTTATTTTGTGTGCAAGGAATGAAGTGTGCGTCTGCTTAGTTTGGGACCTCATTGTCTGGAAAGCTTCCCTGGTGCATGATTCATCATCTCCGTTCTGATTGTTGAGTCAGCTCGTGTCCATTCATCTCTAACCGCACACACACACACACACACACACACACACACACTGCTTCCTCCAGCATACTGTACAGAGACCCCACATACAGTAGCTTTCATTGGCATAAACTTGGAACACACAATATGTAGTATTTCATCACTGATGCACCATCCACCGTCCTTATCTCCTACCGGTTTTGATGCTGGTAATTATAGATAATGCAATTTCTGTCCACTACAGGGAGTAGCCCTGCGATTAGCCATGCTAACCTCAACTCTCTATATTGCCTTTCAGCATACAGTACATCACTGCTGTCCTTATCCTCCTCCATCAGCCACGCTATGATAGTACATCATTGTACATGTATCTCTTATCATGTTAAAGCTAATTCATTTCTGTCTGTGTGACCTTCCTGCTCTCTCTCTCTCTCTCTGCTGTATCACCTCCAGAGCTCAGAACATTTTCAGGCAAGCGATGCGTTCCTCTGTCATCCTCTTCCACGTGGTCCCTGCAGCCCTGAAAAGGCAGTACGAGCTGCTGTCGGCCCGGAACGAGATCAGCAGTCCGCCCCAGTCCAACAGGGTCCGCTTCAGCCAAGACTCTCAGCAGCCAGGGGACAGGTCGAGTCTGGTCGGGGGGGCCATGTCCAGATCTGGACCGCAATCCAGCTTCAACCACAAGTGGGTTTCACCTCCTTGGTCTTTGCAGGAGAATTATTTTTTTCTATCCATGAACATTTTGATGCAAGAGAACCGCCTACATAGAAATGGAAAGACGGATAAAATGTTCCACCAAAATGAAACTTTGACATCTATAGGCCTGTGCTTGTGCATTAAAATGAGATTTGTCCTTCTGATTGAAAGAAAAAACTGCTTATTTTTTGTAAGTTTTGTGACAGGCTGCCACGGTGTATATGTGAGTGTGCACACCAGCTCTGCTTTAATTGCAACAGTCAGTGACTTTTTGTTAATATGTTCACAGTGAATCCGTCAAACTTTTTAAAGCGACACAATAAAAGGGAAGAGAGCAGCTTAATAGAAATTTCTACCTGAGACCTGAAAGCTGAGCGTCTTTTTTAAAACCCCGTTATATCTGTCTGTGGTAACTATTAATTTCTTTAATATCTTTGGCTTGATTCCAGAAAGCTCAATGTGTGGGTGTTTATCAAATAGGTTAGTGTTTACAGGTTGATAGTCTTGATTTCAGGTGTATAAATGAATTAACTAATTCATTCATTCTCTGTCTGCCATAATTAGGCTGTCAAAAGTCCTCTCTGTGCCGAGATGATCATTTGGGTTTTTTTTTCCTTTTTGACTTTTTTTTTTTTTATCAGAGCAGTGGAGAGAGACAGGAAAGGGGGGAGAAGAGTGGGGAAAGACCTGCAGCAAATGGTCTTGGTTGGGAGTTGATCCCACGACCGCTGCATCTATAGCCCCTGTTTGTGGGTCGCCATCTTATCCGGTTGAGCTACCGGGGCGCCATGATTAGGCATCATATTGTACATCACACTTTACAGCTGTACAGCCTGACATAACAATGGCTTCTGGATATGTGTACAGTCGTCCTTAAATGTATTTCTACCCTCCAATTAAAGAAGGACAAAAACAGCTGTCACTGAAATAAGTTGAAATTGACAAAAGTAATAATAAATAAAACTTTAATGAAAATCATGACATTGCTTTTGAATTGTGGTTCAACAGAAATATATTAAAAAAAAAACACACAAAAAGCTAGCCTGATGGGACCCGAACACTAATATTTAGTTGAACAACCCTTTGAGCCAATCACTGCCATCAGGTGTTTTCTGTAACTCTCAATCAGACTTCTACACCTGTTGACAGGTATTCTCACCCACTGCTCATCAGCAAAGTGCTCTAATTTGTCCGGGACAGTTTTTTAAAAAAATGTTATTTTATTTTTTCGTTTTTTCACCCGCAATTCAAAAGCAATGTTTTATTTCACTAAATTCTAATTTAATAAATTTTTATTTATTATTACTATTTCAGATTCTAGTTATTTAAGTGACTATTGTGAATTTTGCCTTTTCTTTAATGGAAGGGTGTGATTACATTTGAGGATGACTGTATAAAGGTAAATAAGCAGAGTTTTAAAATCTCCTACTTTGACAACAGGCAGACAAAGAATGGTTGAATCCTACCAGCTGAGCAAAGTATCAAACATAGCCCTACAATAACCCTACAAGCAATCTGAAAATCAACGGGTCGTGACTTGATATGGTTATTTTACCGAGCTGATCAAACAACAGCGAACAGTTGTCCTGATCAAAACACGTTGTAAATATGTTTTTCCATAATGTCATGATATTGTTTTCAGGTTCCTGTTTAAACTGATTCTCATCAATATTTGTTAAACGTTCATCTTCTACTTTGCAATTTAAGCATCCATAACATATCAAAATTGCATTTTGGAATTTGATGAACTGTACCGTGGCTTTTCAGTCTTCTTCAGTGAAACAAATTTTGAACTCTTGTTTTCTTCCTGTAGCCACCAGGGTCCCCTGGCAGGAAGCACCCCAGAGCCAAGTCGACGCTTCACCACTTTACCCCACAACCTGGTCTCTAGGACCTCGTCAGCCCCATCCCCCTCCCTACAGCGCAGGATAAGCACAAACATGTCCACCAGCTCCTATCTGAAGAACAAAGGCCGCAGATTCAACATCCAGCTCAAGAAAGGTAAGAACCAGCCGCCAGGCAGGTACATGGCTTTTAAGGTGAACATCTTAATGAGAGTAAGGCTGTGGTTGTGTCGTATGAGTGAAAAAGATAAGAAGCACTTCCATGGACAGGATATATCACTGTTTACATCTCAGGATGACGTGTTGGCTTTAAAACACTTCCATGTGTCACAATCCAGCTCAAGGCAGGACACAGAGGAGACCACACATGAGCTAAACCTGAAAATATTTTAGGGAACTAAGAGGGAATAAGTGCAAACAGAGTCAAAGTCAAACCTAGTGGTGGCCAGAAGGACCGAGAGACTGGCTGACTGCTGTAGTGGAGCCAGAGCAGGTGAACTAAATCCTCCACGTAGGCCTGATTCCAGCCAGTTAACTCCTGCTGGGGTAAACCTGCCCACAGGGTTGTCACACATGTTATAAAGTTAGATGATTGTATAGTTCATAAATATTTGCTTTTCCCAGTTGTATGTTGTATGATTTGGACATGAAGATGTAGGTAAACAAACTCTTAATCAAATATTGATGGGTGGTTGGAATATTGATGCAGATGAATTGACACCATAATACTTTCAGCATTATGCAAATTAAAAAGTACATAATTTTTTGGCAATTTAGAATTGTTTCTGCCGAAACTTCTGTCAGTCCCTCCATTGACAGATTAAGGTCACGTTTACACATAGCCAGGTATTCACAAAAACGGATCTACGTTTTCAAAAATAACATTGTTCACACCAGATCGTTTAAAAAAAAAAAATCTTCATTCACACAAAGCCGCATGAACATGTCGTTAAGAGTTGCTATGAGCACCCAAACCTATAGGGGGCAATGTAACGAGAAGCATAAAACCATGCTAGAATCCTGGAGAAAACAACGAAAACTTCCTGTTACTTCATCAATACTGGAGCGAGTCTCGTTTGTTTGGACCAACAGAGTAGTGGAGCTACTCCTAAATGTGGTGTTAGAATACAAAACAAGTAAAATACTTAAAAATATTGACTTTATATCACAGAAGCCAAACTGTAAACGTGGGTCGCACACATATGACGCTGATGACGCTTTTGTTCCACACTGTGACGTCAAACTCCTTCTCCTTCTGTCTGTATGCAAACGTAAAGACAGAGTTTTTCCAAATCTCCACTGTGGCCGGAGTTTTCAGATATGATTGTTTTCTGTGATCTCTAGCGTCGTTTACATGTAAACTAAAGGCCCAAACACATTCACATATCACAGTTTTTGCTACGTGTAAACGGTGCCTAGATCAGTCTCCATTCTTATGAGCAGAGAGCTGAGAAAAAGCCCTGTGTGTCTGATAATATTCCACCATACAAGAGTGACAGTTCTGTTTTGTTGGCTGGTAGATGAAGATTCAGAGACAATTTAGCATTTAGCTGCACCTAAAGTTCACAATTTTGATCATCAAGCAGCTGATGTGACACAAAATATTACCATAAAACAGCAAATGACTGCATTCTGTTCCTGTCTCTATCACCCATAGTCCACTATTTTCAAAAGCAACAATAGTTTTGGAACTCTTTAGATAAACATTTCTAGAATAATTTAAAAAAAAAGAAGAAAACTCTTCGTGCTTTGTTTACCAGAGCAGGCCAAAAGCAGAGATCAGCTCTATTTTAAAAACCGTTTGTTGTTTGATCCGTTCAGGCTGCGTCACTATTTAACATCTGGTTCCATCTGAGGTCAGTTTGTTCGTGGACCAGGACTGACCTGTGATACTGGAGCTGCTTTATTTCTTGGTGCCGGGTCAGCTGTCAGGCCTTATGTCGTTTTGATCACAATCTCCATGTGAATTAATGTAAAGCGAACCAGTTCTAAGGTGACTTGCCTGCCGCCTCTCTCTCGCTTTGCTCCTTTTTTTTTCCCGTGGAGGGGAGCAGATGTTTAGTTGAAAGCTGGCACCGAGGCCTTTGCAGCGAGCTTCAGGGAATAGTGCGGCAAGTGAGGGCAGCAGCTCAGGCTAAATGCAACACACTCTGGGGAAATGCAGTCACAAGCTGCTCTAATATGTTTGGCAAAGGTTTCAGAGCACTGCCAGCACACTTCTCATACAGCAGTACAAGTTATATTTATTTGTTTATAATGTGATAAAGTTCCTCTCTTTTCTTCTGCACACAAGCCGCTCATTTCAGAGAAACCGAGTTGGGGAGATGTTGGTGGAGCTCCAGCTGGAGGCCGATGCCAGCAGTTTAGTTTATTTTCACTAGCCACATGGCTTCATGGTCTGATTCGACACCACTCATAACTCTCAAAGTATGCGTGCTCTGGCCCAAGTGACATAAATGGTTTCAAAGATTATTGCTCATAATTTAAATGAGGTTTACTGGAATGGATGTGCCTCACTTGTAAACTTCGAGCCATTTGTGAACTCCAAATGGAGATAAATTATTTCCCAAATGTTGTTGAATTGGAAATTTCACTGAGCACTAAAATCCACCCGAGTCGAGGGAAACGCGCCTCTGAAATCCATTTTGACAGTTCCATTTGATTGCCATCGGCCTTTATCACTACTAATGTACTTTTGCTTCAGCAGTTTTGTTGTTGACTCGTTGTAATTGTTGTGATTCCGTCTAAGTGGCTCAGAGTTGCAAGTGGCGGTAGCAGATCTTGAATGGCAAATTAACAAGAGTGCTTTAATCAAATACTGCTGTCGAAAAGGACATACGCATCCCATTAAGTCATTGTAATGTGCCTCAGCCTCTCCTCATGTTTGCTGTTTAATTGGCTTATTGGAGCCAGGATTCCAACTAATCCAGAAAGGGATACAATTACTTTTATCCTGGTCTTCTATTACCCAAAATAAAGACGTCAGTGGTTAATTACTGCAGGCCTATTAGAGATGCATTCTCCTAATTGCCTGATTGGAGACCGTTAACGACAGGATCTTGCACTGAGCAGGAGTTTGATTCTTGTGCTCAGGCTGTGTGCAGGGCGGTGGAGATGGACTGGTATGGGAGAGGGGTCCGAGTGGAAAGGGAAACACAGGCAGTGGTGTAGAGGATTTGAAAGGGGCGCCATAATATAACAGTCATGATAAATAACTTGGATCAGACAGAAATATAGTAAGATATCAATGGTCATGCAGTAATGATCAACAAATCTGTCAGATCTATAAAATCTAACTCATTGTTGCCTTTTTTAATGAAAATGTGCATGATTTGCTCGTATCCTATTTATGTCTGTGTAGACCAGGAGTAGTCAATTAAAGTCACTGAGGTCCAGTTATTAAAATTTCCTCCAAGTAAAAGGTCTGAACTGAAGACCAGTTTGTGTCGTATAGTCTTCCCCTATGGCCACATTTTCATGGTTTCAACAATACTTAATGTCAGTTTTCAGTGCAGGATATGTTTAACTGAGTGCACAGTTTGCTCTTTTACCATATATATAAGTAGTCCCTGACAAAAATAAAATGAGGCCTTTATTTCAGATTAAAGAAAACAAAAATCTCAGAATAAAATACATTTAAAAAAGTGCAAACAGAGCCCAATAACCCTTTTATCTCTTAAATTAAAGCGGTCTCAGCCTAAAGAACTGAAGGCCTCCAAGTAAAAAAGTCAACATCCTCAGAAAACAATAGATAAAATGTTTGGTTTGCACGTTGCTGGGCTGTAAATGTGGTGATGAGTCAGATAGATCTGTCATACAGGGCTTGCAGCTCTGTGATTTTGCCGTCAGCTCAGACTTCAGGGGAAAACTTTGCTCTAAACAGCTGAGCTTTGTTTCGTAGCGGCGCTTCACGTTGCTACTTTTAATTAATGCCATGTTTTCAGAACATATGAGGCCATTGGTTGAACAAACATTTCTCCGTCCAGTCATCTTCAAAGCAGCAGTTTTCCTTATCAGCCTTCCTTCTTTTGGAGCAAGCCATGCTGTCATCACTGTCTCTTCCTCTCTGCTCCGCTGTATAGGCAAAGTGGCAGCAGGTAACCAAACGATTTGATTGGCTCGACTGAGTGGAGCTATTACCGTATTAAGTGGAGTAGCAGCGCTGCTGTCTGTAGCCGCAACCGTCGGAAAAAATGCTCCATGAAAATCTATTCTCGTAAATTTATCAAAGATTAGTCAGGGGTCCGGACAGAACCATCACTTGGTCCGAATCGGGACCGAGGTCCGCCATTTGGTGATGCCTGGTGTAGACTCTCATCCAGATCATGGTAATTCTAGGAGCTTCAGTAAGAAGACTTTAGTATAGGGTCATCCAGGAGACTTCTACAGTTCTCAGTGACTAATGGGAAATCACAGATGTTTATGGTCACCCCCAAATCACATGACTAAAGGCCCAGAAACAACCTCAAGCTCACATGCCTCAAGGTGTTACTGAGGTGAATCTATAGTAGAAGTCCATTTGCTTTATACTGAAGTACTGTGTAGCCGTGTAATTTAATTTTCTTCTGATTGTACGGCAGCAACGGCACTGAACAGAGAACTTCCACTGCAACAACTGTGTGACCTTGTATTAAAAGTTTGGCAGTCATGAAGACAAACTGCAGATTTAATATTCAGCATAAACGATGACAGCTATTTCTGTCTGCTCAGTTATCCGGCTGCATTGATGGAGAGATCACAGACCATCATTGTCCTCAACAGCTCCACTCTCTCTAACTTTATAAGCAACCTCTTCATCACCTTTCCGCAAGTTTGTTTGTGTGCACGGAGCCGTGAGAAAGTTGCCATCCGCGCTTTCTCCCTGTTAGCGCGCCTTGTTCATCAACACCATCACTGTCAGCGAGACGACAGACAGACAGTTCAACAGACTGCTAAAGAGACATACAGGGAAAAGTAGGTCATGATGAACCATCAGAGGTGCTGACAGCTCTGTGAAATGAGCAGACACTTTGACATGAATACTAATCACTGTTGTTACCGTCGGAAAAGCTTCCACTGAAGCCACATAACGCAGCTTTCCAACTTACCTGCTAAGAACGCTGACAGGAGTCCTAACGTTATTCCTAATGACTCATCGAACAGCCTTTTGTTGCAAGGCCATTGAATTTTTAAATATTCTATGAAAGAATGACCCAGCACGCAGCATTTATTTGGTTTACCTCGTTTCCAAGCTGACATTTGAAACCATTTCTTGGTTTTATTTGACAAATTCGAGTTCTGGTCAGCAGGAAAGGTCAGACCTGAGATCCTCTTATTTATCCGTTATTGTATTTGCCTACTTCCTCCAGACCAACAATTCATATTCATTTGATGAACCGTAAAGGTCAGCCTTAAAACTCACAGCAAATGGCTTTGCACAGATGATACTTTGCGTTTTCAGCCACTAAACTCCATGGATCCCGACAGAAGACACAAGTCCTGATGAACACAAAATAATCACTGTTTTGTCCATTATGCAACCTTCAAACTATATATAGTGTAGGATTGACCCAGACATGATTTGTGTGCAGCCTCGTGACCTGCCTTTGCACCAAAACGTCTGCAGGGTTTTTTTTGGTTGAAACATCTGGCACAGTGCAGGATGATTTAGAAAACAGCATTTTTGCTATTTAGGTGTCCTGCACTATATTTTAAGAGGCTATTGAACAGCGTTTGGATGCATTCTACAATCCATAATCATTCATTTCTCTCTGCTTATTCTGGTTCCTAACCAGTCTTTAATCTGACCAGAACTTGCAAGAGTGGCTTTACAGTCCACATGCACTTATCTTAAACACTCAATTTTGGTTCATAGCATTGATGCTATACTTAGAGACACGTTTTCATTTTTACTTCCCAAAAATCCTGAGTGAGACACACCCTGATGGCAAATGGATGAAAAATGCCAGCATGGAAGCAAGTGTGTTTATATTAACTGTAGGAGGTTCTAGACGTGGTGGAAAACCATAATTTGATCCCTGCTTAGTGGTTACTCACCAGTTTGGCCTTAGAGTCACAGTCAAAGCAATATGACAGTCAGACTTCAAGTCTGATCAGCAATAACCATGACGAGGCATATTTCTTGTAAAATTCAGCTAAACAGAAGGTGAGAAAAACTTTTTTTAAAAATTTTTCCCCCCAAGACACATCATGAGTGAAATAAGCAGTCAACAGGATGGCTGAGCATTTCCACCTTAAAACTGCAGTGTGCTTTAGGTCTGCATTCTATTGGAAGAAACAATACAGCTTCACATCTAAGCCATTTTATGGAAAAGTTTCACATGTTCATCTCTGATATTTATTGAGATGAGTTTTTTTTTTTTTAAGTTTTTTTTTTGGCCTTTGTGCCTTTATTCGATAGTGATAGTGAGAGAGAGACAGGAAAGTGGGGGAGAAGAATGGGGGAAGGACGTGTGGGAAAGGGTCATGAGCGGGATTCAAACCCATGACCTCCACATTGGGACTGTAGCCCTGTACATGGGACGCCAGCTCAACCAGGTGACCTACAGTGGCGCCCCAACTGAGATGAGTTTTGAGAGGTTAAATTAACAGTCAGTGACAACATTTAAAGAACATTTTTGTTTTGTATAAGAGGTTTTTCAGAAAGGTTCCAGGACTGGTGTCATGAAAGATATATTTCAAATCCAAACTACAAACTACAAGTAATCCCCCTGGAGTCTAACACACTTCCCCAGCCTTCTCTGCCGCCACTATGCACTCCTGGAAGGATTCTTCCAGGTCGTCACAGCCATCTTGATGTCGTCCACGTCTTCCAAACGGGTCCCCTTGATGACCCCCTTGAGCTTGAGGAAGAGTAAAAAATCCCACGGAGCCAGGTGGAGTGAGCAGGGAGGTTGCTCCAGCACGGAGATGTTCTTCTCAGCCAGGACCTGTGGGATGCTCAGGGCATCATGAGCAGGGGCGTTGTCATGGTGAAGCAGCCACGACTTGTCCTGCTCCAACTCTTCTCAACTTCTTCTCGCGCACTGAACGAAGCAAACGGCGCAGGATCTCTTTGTAGACGTGCTGTTTGATCGTCTGAAGGGAAAACTCCAAGTTTGTAATTTGAAATATATCTTTTGTGACCCCCGTCCTGGAACGTCTCTGACACACCTCGTATGTTGGTTTTTGCAAGACTTTTATGAAGAAAGCAACACAACGAACGTCACCTTTGAGCCTTGATGTGGTCGTGGCAGGAAGCACAAAGCAAAACTATCATCTGCAGTTAGTGTAATATTACGTTGCAACAACTATATTCATTTGCTCTTCATTTCTTAGGTCCAGAGGGCCTTGGATTCAGCATCACATCCAGAGACGTCCCAATCGGTGGTACTGCGCCCATTTACGTCAAAAACATCCTTCCTCGAGGGGCTGCCATCCAAGACGGAAGACTGAAAGCTGGAGACCGGCTGCTGGAGGTGGGGCGGCGCTTTCAAACAACCTCTGGTGTTAAAGCGAGTGTGTTCTGTGAGATTGTATGTTATTTCAGTGACTAATTACTCTTTTGCTGATATGGCTTTGTTTCTAAATTCAGTCTAGCAGAGCTTTTGTTGAAATGAGTCAAACACTCTGCGTTTCCTATGGCTCTAACAATTCAGCTCCAGCTTTGAATTTTGAAGAAAACGTGGTTAGATGGAGCAATATTTTGATTATACTTCAATCAGACTGACATGAAAATCAGCTAGTGCTCACTTGAGGGGGAAATAACCCGTGTTTAATTCCAGCTCCGACCGGCACGGAGGGTAATCTGCATAAAGGTTATGTGGAGGCCACGTTCCCCTCTCTTTGAAGTAGAGTTAAGTTTTGCCTCTGAGTCTGCGTGTATCTAATGTACATTTATTTTGGCCTTTGTTTGTGCACTCTTGTTAGCATTTATGACCGTGTGTGTATACATGCAGGTCAGTGGAGTGGACCTGAACGGTAAGAGCCAGGAAGAAGTAGTGGCCCTGCTCCGAGCCACACCCATGGGTGGCACCGTCAACCTGTTGGTGACTCGCCAAGAAGACTCCCTGCTGCCCCGAGAAGTGGTGAGTACCAGACCACCACCTCGTCTTATCACCTGAATGCTTTTTGCGATTCAGAACCGGGAGTATTTCGTCATCAGGTTATTGCACCAACTTTAAATTTCTACATTTTTCAACAAGTGGTGATATTTCTAGATGAAATCGTTTTGGCAAAAACTGTGATTTTCTAAGTAGCTTTAGTTGTAATAAAAAAAAAAAAAGAAGACAAAACTGACACTTGAATGGGAGGGTGTGTAACTAGGTTAGACAGTTTGTGTTACAATTTCTCGTGTGAATTACAGTTATTACTTTTCACTGCAAATTAGGCAAACTCTCATAATTAATTTGACACAGCATGTCCCAACTGATTCAATGAACTCTCAATCTGGTAAATGTCACTAAATGTCTAACGTCCTGTTCAGCTTGAATATTGATTTGTCATGGTGGCTGCGCTGATCTGCCTTTAAATGCCCCTTCAATATATCAGCTTCTTTGTCTTTCTGTCTGTTCTTCTATTATGCTATCTACACTGAGTTATGTTTTTAAAAATCTTTTGTCAGTTGTGTTCTGTCAGTGTAAATAATTATTAAAAGAGGTTGATGACTGCTTTCCACTCAACACTTTCCTGCTAAAATATAGGGCTGGACTCAGATCTGAATTTTCAACTCGGAGTTGCCAGCTGAGGCCAAATATTAGACTTTTCAAGTGCAGGCTCCCTTGAAATGCTGGCTCTTGCTTATCCGTAACTTTTGCTTCATTTCTACATGAAAATACATTATTCATGCCAACTGCCCAGTCGCAGCACACATGCAGAGCAGCCGCAGCACACACACACGTCTTACAATAACCTACATGTCAACATTTTGGCATTACCTACAAGAGCTGAGTTTAATTTATTTAACTTACATCACTGATGCTCATCGTCATGTTATGAGTCACTCTGCACTGCATTGAAACAAGCTACGCCTCATCAGCCTGTCCTCTGTTTCACCCCTCTCTATTTCCATTGCAGTTTTGTAGTTGGGTAAAAAGACTCGATTTGCACTAAGTTTAAAACTACCGCTGTGAGTTCTGCTTGTATAAAAGAGCCGAGGATATCACTTGTAATTGAGGTTAGACTCTGCTCCTTAACGCAAACTTAAAATAATCAGTATTTATGGTTTATGCATTCAAAGATTATGAATTATGAGTATTGCTTTAAATTCAAGTTTGCAGTTTTGTAGCATTTCTACAAGTTGCACAAGTTCACAGTAACTTCACATGAGGCCTGGGTGATAAAACCATGCATCTATGTACCGGCCATAAATACTTCATCAATACATACATGCAAAACATAGATGCAATAAATCTCTTGATAGAAGGTTTGATAGTTTCTTAAATGCATTAGATGTATAAGGTTATGAATTCACATAACAATAACATAAAATAGACAAACACAACTGAATCGTACCCCCTCCCTGTCTTATAAACAGTCCCTTGGTGTGATAGACTTCCATACAGGTCTCTAGTTCACGGTCACTTTGGCCTCTTGTTGCCCCCATCTGCTGCTGCACATCTCCTCTTGGGAGATAGTCTCTGCTGTCTTAAAACACATAAACAGTGCAATCCCAGCACCCTGCTCTGAGCTTCCTCTGGGTTTTAAACACTTACTTTATTTAATGTATATCAGAATCATTCCTGTGGCGCAGTCTATTTTTATTCGTGTGCAAATGCATTTGTTTGTGTAGGTTTTTTTTTTTTTTTTATTGGTGTGTTAACATTAAAATTGTTACTCATGGACATTCTCATAGATTAATCGTAGCAAGTGGACTTGCTTGAGTTTCTTGAAGACGTTCCACCTCTCATCCAAGAGGCTTCATCAGTTCTGACTGACTAGTTGGGAGATCCACATACTTATATCCTAAAGGAGCCACTGAGAACCTTCACAGACACGTTACTCATGGACCTTGACCAACACACTAAAGTGGTTAAAATCAAACTGACACTCTTGGTCTGCATTAAAAATACTAGTTGGTCTTTATTAAAAACAGTTCAATCAAAATGGTCAATAAACACCGATATTAACTGAGATGAAACATTTTAAAAATGTTCTTCTTCACATTCTCCAGCCCTAATTCACACCTAATCTAAACTTACCTAACCTGAACTGAGAAGATGCAAACTCTTTACTCTCACTGCACTCAGCTCATCTCCACCATGGTCAGAATCACACAAACACACTCGTCTGTTAGCGTCACACTAGACAAGTTTATGTGCATAACCAAACAAGCAACCACACACACACACACGTATCTGCACACAATGAGACAGTTACAGCGAGGGTCATAAGCATACATACCCACACACATGCACACTAACACTGAGGATAAGAATAGACACGAACAAACAAGGATACACCAACTAACTTACGCACAGACACTCTGAAATAAGGTGTCGAAGCACACACAAATGCAGCTTTGGACATATTCAAACACACACACACATATACAGACACTGACAAACACACACACACTCCCACTCAGACACGCAGTCTACATGCAGGGTGACTTTGGCTGTCGCGCAACAGATGGCGAGGCTACTGCCCTCGTCCAGCCTGCGCTCAGTGTCTTTGACAGCAGGCTCGGGCTTCGCGGCACCTTGGCAGACCAGGGGCCTCTGATGCCAACCTCACTCCTTCCCATAATACTCAGCCCTGCACCCGGGCTGTTAACCCCGCCATAGGAGCTGCTCAACCTGTACAATAATGGCCCTTAGAGACACATTTTTACTCTCCTAATGTGCTGTTTCACAACTTAGAAATGCAGCACCCCCCACACTTTGCTACACTTAATTTTCTTTTTACACTTTAATTTTCTAATTCATAAATTGGCACATGTTTAATTCCTGCTGTATTAAAGAAAGGCCCCAAATGTCCTCTCTCTACATTCAGAAGGCTTGTACGGTCTTAAAATGTACCAGCGATGATAAAAACATGCTCGATGTCTGTTAATGGCTTATTGTCTGGTATCAGACCTGTGACTTTCAGGTACCTCAACCGGCTCTTTAACTAAAACAGCCAATACTTAAATTCTGACTGGAGGGATGCACCAAAACTGATTCATGCGGCCTTGACAGCGGCTGAATGATGCTGCGAGGGATGTTAAAAAATGCACGGCTGCCTCTGGCTTGTCTACTCTTGAGTGGCGCGGTATGAGAGGTTGATGGCTGCACTCTCATAGCTCCTGAGGCATGACGTGATTAGAAAAAGTCCATCATGGAAACACTGTCTAATAATCTCTCGCTCTCTCTTTTTTGTTTTCTCTCTCTCTCTCTTCACCAACTTATACATGCTGGGAGAGGCTGCTAGTTAATATTTCATCGCTTTCCCCGGCAGATTAGCATTTTTTACTCTCTCCCTTACTGTTCCCTTTTTTTTCCCCCCCTGCTCTCACACAGTTTCACATTACCCAGCAGTGCTTTCACAAATCTCAATAATCCCTACAACTATGTTCATAAAAATCAGATAAGGAGGCCAAGGCTCTGCCGGTGACAGTTATTGCAAATAAAGCATGGTGGAAAAGTGGGGTTGGTAATTGCCTCCTCTGTCACACACTGTGGATAGGTGAGTGAGTGAGTGACTGTGTGTGTGTGTGTGTGTGTGTGCGCGCATATATACTACACGCAGTATTGCTAGCACACACACACAAACACGCCTATGGATGAGCGTTTATGTGCTGTCATTCATGTAATTCCCCCAATGACAATGCGATGATGTTTTAAACTGCAGCATGAGTGACATGCAAGGCATCAGCAGACATGTATAGCCACACACACACACACACACACACACACAGAGAGAGAGAGAGACAGGGTTTCCAGCTGTATAGATGAAAATAAAGAGCAGGCCTTTTTTTGTCTCATTGACATTTGCCTGCTGATGTTTAATGTCAGCGCCGAAAATCCCTTCACGCCTCCTTTTGTTTCGATGTTTTATTGTATGCTTGGCGTACTGCACGCACCCCCAGAGGAATTAATTTACCCTCCCAGCATGTTTGCGTTGCATCTTTAATTACCACGGCTGGGGTGGATTTTGACATGCTTTCAGTAGCAATAGCAGCAGCTTTCAAAAAGCCTTCAATAAATATACACGTGCGGGGAAGAGAAAAGGTTAAATGGCAAAGCAGCAAAACGGGGCTTTGCCTCTGTGATTTCTCCTGTCTGCTCACTGCTCTCGCTCGACTCCAAGGATATCAATAGACATTTTCAGACAGATACAATATATTTTAGAAGTAGAACACCTTTAACCTTTACCCAACTCTATACTAATCAATAGGAAGGCTGTTTTTGGATACCAAGTTGTTCCATCCTAAGTCTGCAGCATCCATAACAATGTTTTATAAAACACGTAGAAAAGAATCTTCTTTAGTTTTGTTGTCACGTTTGGTGGTATAGGATGAACCCTGTGGCCTTGAGGTTATAAGGACAGCAGAGGAAAGAACAATTGAGACACACAGACGGAGTTCTCTGGCTGAACTCAAACCCTGAAGACTCAGTAGGAGGTTCTGATCAATGACTGTGTGAACAAAGTCACTTCATGCCATGCTGTTCCTTCATTTGACAGCTCTGGGAGTTTGAGTCAGTGATTTCAAGGCAAGTGAGAAAAGGGCAGAATTCAGATGAATTGCTGCCCCCTACGGGTTTGGAGGTTAGTTCAGTGAGTGTTGTATCATCAGAGGGGGGCGGATATGAGGAGGTAGGAAGACTTGAGCAATATGTACCTCAGTGGAAACCCAAAATATACATGAACATAAGCAGAGACTTTATAAAACTTTATGGCTGATCTCTGAGAGCTCGACACCTTTACTTGTTGTTTGAGGTGAAAGTAATTGAAGAAAGGATGCATCTGATGTAAAGAGATGAAGGCCTGTGATGTAAATGTCTTTATCAAATCCACACGGAGCCCTCTGCACACATCCATGTACAACATACAATTTGTGTCCATGTGACTACAACTCTACCAGTGCAATAGCTCGCATGTTCATCAG